TATATATTAATTATACATGTATATATTAATTATTGCTTGCATATACATACACATACAAATATAAAAATTTTTGTTAATCATTTCCTATTTTTAGAAATGCATAAAAAGAAATGCAACAATGTCACTATTGAATGCCGAAGAGAAGGAATGGAAATGTTTCATATGTAATCCTAAACCGATCTGGAACCTTAGAGCAGTATGCGCTGCTGTAATGGACACTTTTAAGTAAGTATAATTAAGGCATATAATTGTTGCTTGTGAAACTTACAGTAATCATAAGGGTACATTTTTTCATTAGATAGATATTTATATATTTCTTAATTTTCAAATAGCACTAGAAAATGATAAATAATTCCAATTCCTTTTTTTTTTCAAAAGATTAACATTGGCATTATATGTTACATCTCTTTCCCGTAAACTTTTCTTAGAAGCAAGTGGAAATGAATTTGTAGTCACATTTTAAGATATTAGGAGGGGGAAGAAGCTGATTTTAAATATAAATAAATCAAATGTGCCATTTGAAAATTAAATTATTGAAAGTGACACACATATGTTTATATATCAGTCCTGATATTAGTTTATGTACGTTTTGTTTTAGTTGTTTTATTGGACGATAAATCAATAGAATTATTATCCGAATCTCTAGAGATTTCATTTTTCCATTTTGAAATTCGTTTATCTTGTATGGATTTAGTTTTTTGATATCTTCTGTTCTCTCTTTGTACATATATAACGTTTGATTGAACAATCAGAACAAAGAAATTTTTGTTTCTTTTGTTATGATTGAAACACTATCATATCGGTCAATCAAACACTAATATATCGGTCAATCAAACACTACTCTATCCAAGGAAAAAATTTTGGAAGCCAACCTTGAAAAACTATTATTAAGAATAAAAATATTATAACTATTATTATGAATTATATAAATACTTTTATGACATAATTTTTCGAAAACTTTCTTGTCAAAGTATATGAAAAAGTTTCTAGTCATCCTATTTTTCAGACGTCCTGTGTATATACATATATGTATATATTACTAGCTTGATTGTTACATTGTTATTGTTTATATGTTGTTTCCATTAGGAAATTAAAATAGATGTCAAAGCTTTATATAATCAATAGACAATAATTTAATAATTTTTATATAGATTAAATTGCATGTTCTAGTAATGTTTAATGAAGCATGTTTTGTAATTAAATATGTTGTATGATTAATGCTGTTAGTCCGTTCTGTTATAATATAATTTACTAGAAGAAGACTGTTAAGAAAATAATGTTAGAGCAACATAAAAAGAAAAGAAGAGCAAAGTAAAATCTATCGCGTTTCTAGCTACAGGACTGGCTGACAGATACTAAAAGTTTGGCAATAAACAACTTAAAGAAGAATGGGGGACATGCATGTGTACATGATACTCTACCATGTCCACAGGAAAAGAGAAGATATGTACATATGGAATGGATCTTCTGTTTCAGAAAGGGTAACAGGAGAAACACCAACAAGATTGAAAGACGTACGTTACCATCTCATATACAAAGATTAAAAAGAGCCAAAGAAGTTCAGAAGAGTATGCGAATGTTATGTGATAGTGAGGAGAGTGGTAGTTCTTCTGATGATAAGACATTTGTAACAGTGAGATCCAGGCAGAGAATAGACAATCAACATCATCTGAAACAAAATGCAGATCTCAATCGGCAAAAAGAGATAGTGCAAGTGAATCTAACAGATTCGTCTGGAAACGAAAGTTTGTTTAATACAAGCGCAAGTTTAACATCCTATAAACAAGATAAACAAAGAAAAAGCAATAGAGAACAAAAAACTAAATCCATACAAAATAGACGAATATCAAAAAATAAAATCTCTAGCGATTCGGATAATAGTTCTATTGATATATCGTCCAGTAAAACAATTAAACAAAAACGTACAAGTAAATCTATCAGGACTGAAAAGATAATAAATAATAGCTATAATTCTATATATTTTTCTGATAGCGAAAGTGACAAGGATATTTCCACAAATAGAGCGTCAAATATATCTGAGAATCTTTCGAAGAATACTACACAACAAGGTAGAAAGAAGGATGCTAATTCTTCTGATGCAAAATCGACTAAGAACAAGGCGAAAAAGCATCAGGATTCAGCTAGTGAATCTGAAGATGAAGATATAAGGTATAAAAAACAGAACAGCAAAAGGCTTTCCACAAACCGCATTATGTCACATAATAATAACGAGGAAAAGAAGCGAAAAAAAAAAAAATACGACATGTCATCAAAGAAGCATCTTTCCAATATTCAGGAAGATGAATCAGATGCCAGTTCCAGCAAAGAATTTCAGAAGATAAAACTTCAAAAGGTGAATCACAATAAATACTCTATGAGACGATTGGCAGATTTAGAAATAGATTATACTAAGTCCCCTATTGAAGAAAATTCTGCATTTGAAAGCAAAGAAAATATTAATGACCAATCAGATATGAACCTTGATAATGCGAAAGAATTTGTAAGTGACTGTAAAGGAATAGTCTCAAATTTTCAAAAGTATATAAACTCTGTGGAGCAATTATATGGCAAAAAGGATGAAGAGGAGTTTATGCTGAGAATGATAGAGAAAATTAATAAATTGTGGCCGAGTTTGCAAAAAGTACAGAAGAATTTAACGACATTCTATCAGTCTAAAAGTTCTAAGAATAGAAAAAGTTCAGTTATCAGGAGATTACCCAAAGAAGTTAACGACGATGAACAATCTTCAGAAGAAACTAACATATATGAAAAACGTGCAACGAGCCAGAACAAGATTTGCAACTCCGGAAACGAACAAGATGGAAGTAAGAATGTATCCGAGTGCGACAGTGAAATATTTTCAGGGGACGAATCGAGAACATTACAGAAGATACAGATAATTCAGGACAAAGAAGATACATCAAATACAGAAAATAATGTAAATGTTAATGACAATAAAAGCGATGGAGATAAAGAGTTGATAGATTCGTCAAGGGATGAAGATAATGCGGATAAAAATATGGATTTGCAAAATAATTTGTCCAGTTCCCCAGTGCTAAGCGCATCAACAGAGAAAAAGAAAAGAAGCGCAGAACGGCCGATTAAAAAGCAACTATTTTCAGAAATTACCAATAATGAGACATCATTAACAGATAAAGATACTGATTCTAACGATAAACAGGCTAAATCAGATACTGACGTTCCTGGTAACGAAATTGAGATTGAAGATTCTCCTTTGAGAAATGGCAATCGAAAGATGATGTCACAAAATATCGGGCAAGACGATTCTGCGAACACAAAGGATATAATCAATGAATCGATGGATCTGTTTGATGCATCTTATCATGATATTCCCAAGGCTGCTGAAGAGAATGAAACTGAAACACAAGAAACGGCTGTAGAAACGAATTGTGATGATCCAAAATCTTCATCCAAAATTAAACCATTGGATAATTCTTTGCAAGATAGAGTTTTAAGCGAAAACGATAGGACATCTCTTTCATTTCATGATAATGAAGAGGAGAATTTATTGGATCAGGATAATCAAAAGAAATTGGCATCTGTATCTGCAACTAGCGAGAAAATTCATGATAATGTGGAAGAACTCGATATATCCGGAAAAACTAACACCGACGATATTGAATCTCTCGATGATGCTGAAGCACTCGCGAAGAAATCTCTCCTAGAATCAGATTCTGATTTGGATAACATATTAGACGTTGTAAATGTAGCTACTAAATCAATTGAAGGCTTAATCACAGATGATGATCGAACCGGAAAGGATAACGAAGCGGAAGACAATGATGTTGACGTCAATAGCACCAGCACATTGATATTATCGTCATTTCTAAAAAAGATTAATACTAACGTTGAAGCTAAGGCTGAAGTCGAGAACAAGAGTGGCAATCAACAAACAGATGAGAAGTCTCCCGAAGAAACCGGTTCTTTGAATGATGATGCCAAGGCAGAAGAAGCTGCCAAGAAAGCTCTCTTAGAATCAAATTCGGACGAGTCTACAATTTTATCATCGTCAGATTCTGGAGAGAATGAAAACAAGAAAACCGAATCAAATTCTTCCAGAGAGAATGCCAAATCGAAACAGGCTCTTTTAGCATCTTCTAACACTGAAAGTTCCAGTTCCGAGCCAACTGTATCCAATATAGAAGTTTTGAGTCGCCTCTCAAAGGACTTAAATAATTCTAAACGTAATCACGAACTCGAGAGTGATGGGGACTCAATAGTCTCTAGAATGAAAAGGAAAAGACTTAAACTCAGCAAAAGTCATCACCATTGGAACGATAAGAAATTGAGAATGCTTTGCGAAGTTCGTTTAAAGCGATTGAGCAGAAAAAATCTTAGACGTTATTCTCATGCGTTACAAAAGTCAAGAGAATATCTGGAACAAAAGAAACTCAAAAGGTATCGGGATCTTTCTCTAAAACCTCTGCTTATTGTCTTGCATCACTTGAAATAATTAACTGCTGTTTTATTGAAGAATTTTAAATATGATGTAATTATCTACGCACTTATTCAGAACATATTTGTCTTGAAGTAGTAGAGTTAAATTCTGTATGTGAATATGTGTGTACATGAGAGATATTATTATTTTTATTATTAATCTTGATTATACTTGTTATTAATTGTTTTTGTCACATAAAAATATTTTTATAATAATATAAATATATATACATATATATATATATATGTATATACACACACATACATATATACATACATATATACACATACATATATACATCATCATGTGTGTGATAAAAATTATAGATTATACGGGTATGTTATAACAATAAATTAGAAGAATATATTAGATGATTAATACTCTCCACACACAAATATGTGATGATTTTATTAGCATTATCTTTGTCACTATAAGATATGATTTACAAGATATACCAGTGTAATATTTTTGTTACATAATGCAGGACAATGCAGTGTGCGATTTTTCAAATTCAATATAGCATTTTCCAGCTAGAGAAGATTTACTATATGAAACTTGTGCAAGATGCATATAAGAGTGTATAAAATGTAGTTTTCTATTAAAATTTAGGATAAAAACAAAGAACGGTATAATAATTATACGTTCAATTTTGTGAGCACAAACGTAATGATGACATTTAAATTCGATTTTTCTCAAAATCTACAAAAATCTAGGAGAAGTTCTTGTAGCAAAGTATGTCATTTAGTCATTAATTATATAGTTCTTGTGATTATTCGTTATACACTTTTGTACAAATCTAGACACTTAATAGACAGTCTCTTCTCTTAAATTGAAAATTCTTTAATTTAACATTAAAAATTGTTTAATTCTACTGCAAATTATGAATTTATTTATAAATTTACATATGATCTTAATAACATAATTAGTATTTGGAGCCTTTCTCATAAATTTTTTGTATATTTTTATTGTAAACTTAATATTCCTTGAGCGAGACAAAGCTATTTACACAATAAATATTTTGTAGCAAAATTTATCATATTAGTTAATTATTATCCTTATTTCCATTGTCCTTTACAGTCTTGTTAATCTGGATAATCTCGAAAAAAAACGCACGAAAAACACAAAGAAAGATTCCGATTCGTCGATGGATGATGATATGTCTTCAAAAAATTCGAAAGGCTTAAATAAACGAAAAGGAAAACAAACAATCAAAGAAGAATCTTTAATGGATTATTTAAAAAAAATAGAAAATGGCGATGTTTCGGTAACTGCAGAAATGGATTCTAGTTCCGACGAATCAGTTCATCGAATAGAAAAAGTAGAAACTGTACCTATATCTAATGAAGCTTTAATATCGGAAGCAAATAGAATCGCAAAAGAGAATCTATTAAATTCCTCTGATTCAAATGGTAAGTAATTCGTTATTAGTGCATGTTTTTTAATTCATACCAAGAAATGTCTATTAAATTTTAAATGATATTTAAAATTTAAATGTCCGCGATTCGTAAATTTATCGATTTTCCTCGAAATTAAGAAACATAAACAGCATTAGATTTACTTATCTATAATCAAGATTTTGTTTTTTAGCTTTTATTAATCTTAATGATTGCTTTATTTAGATTTCATAAATTTAATGTTCTTGTATAAAAGCATTTTTACAGCACTTTATCGACATTTACTAATTTTTATCAATTTGAATTTTTTAACACGTTAAAAAAGTAATCTAATATTTCTTTGTTTTGTATATGATAATTATTTGTATGATCATATAGTTTATTCCAAATATTTTATATTGTGTTATTTAAATCTAGAAAAAGAAGTAGTACCACTGGACAGCAATGATGATATAAATAGTGATGATAAAAATGAAAAGACAGAAGAAAAGAAAAAGAAGCACAATAAGAAATCTGAAGAGAAAAGTTTAAAGCAAGATGATGTAAGACATTTTTTTATGATTTAATAAAAAAAGATATAAAAAATTAAAAATCACTAACTATTAAAAGGGAAGTGGTGCTTTTTAATTATATCGTTTATTATATTGCAAATCTGTTATATACAATAAGATCAATTGAAAAAGGTACTAATCTCACTCAAAAATATTTTAGGACAAGAAAGAGAAAAATAACAAAAGCAATTGGAGGCGAAATAAGTTACTGACAATGAGATTATCAGATACTGATTCTGATGCTGAAAAACAAAAATGGGATAAGAAACAAGAAAAAATGAAAAAGTCGGAAGGGAATAAGTAAGCATTTTATTATGTTATCCTACAGACACTGTAGATAAACGAAAAAAAAAAAATATTTTATTTTAATTTTTTGCAGTAGCGATTCCGATGATGAAGAAAAGCGGATACATAAGAAAAAGAAGACCAGGCGAAGAATTATAGATTCCGATTCGGATGTCATAATAACGGACGGTAGTATAGATTCTGACAATTCTTCGAGTGCCAAAGAAAATTCAAACGATTGGGATGACACGGGAAAAGAAAAGGAAAAACTAAAACGGAAGAGACGCAAACGCGGCGAGAGCATTTCGTCAGGCACGGATTCTTCGCTTACAGAGAAGTAAATTTATATACACACTGTTTCTCTCTATATATCCTTAGTTCTGTATCTTTGAATTAATGATATTATGTAATTTACAGGCCAAAACCAAAACGTAAGCGAATCAAGAAAGTAGCATCCGACAGTGATAGCAGTGTCACAGAAATAAATAATTCGCAAGAATCCACACCTGGCAAAAATGGTCGAAAAAATATACGAAAAGTTCTAAAAGATAAACAAGTAGCGGAGGATACAAAATTAGCTGCTAAGGAAGAAGAGGAAAGGCTTAAACGTATTGCTGAACGTCAAGCTGTGGTAAATTCTTACGTTTTCAACTGACGTTATCAATTTTTATTTATCATTATTATATATTTTCTCTCTACACATAATGTTACCTTTTGTTGTAGTACAATGAAATGTATGAGATGAGACTTGCTGGAGAGGAGAAAGTTGAAAAGCTTGTTTTGGACTTCGATACGGAGACGAAAAAGGAGCTCGTTAGCGTGCACGAGGAATTAGTGAAGCGTCTAAAACCGCATCAAGCGCAGGGTATCAAATTTATGTGGGACGCTTGTTTTGAATCCCTAGAAAGAGTAAAGACTACATCCGGATCCGGATGTATAATCGCGCATTGCATGGGTCTGGGTAAGACACTGCAGGTAATCGCTCTGACGCACACACTTTTGTCTCACGAGGCGACAGGTGTTAAGACGGTACTGATAGTTTGTCCGCTAAGCACAGTGCTCAATTGGTTAAATGAGTACAGAACGTGGTTGAATGATCTGGATGATATCGAAGTATATGAATTGACAAAGTGAGTACGAATTTAAATGATACTTGTGTTAATTAAAATTATTTTTCTATCTAAAGCTTTTTTCTCGCCAAAGAAAATGTCACGATATAATGTGCGATCTGTGAATTTTTCATGACAGATACTTTATTAAAAGTAAAAAAAAAACCAAACAACACTTTCAGATATAAAAAAAATTTTGAAAGAAAGCAACAGCTACAGAGATGGCAAAAGACCGGCGGTGTGATGATTATCGGTTATGAAATGTTTCGTAATCTTACGGGCGCTAATAAAAATATCCGAAAGGGTATGAAGGAAGTGATAGAGGAATGTCTGGTCGATCCAGGCGCGGATCTCGTTGTCTGCGATGAAGGCCATTTATTAAAGAAGGAGGATACTGCTTTAAGTAAATGTATGAGAAGGGTGAGAACTATGAGACGCATAGTACTTACAGGGACACCACTGCAAAATAATTTAATAGAATGTGAGTACTTTATAAAGGATCTTTATAACCATATATTTTTTCAATAAACACAAATATATCATGTGTATTTGAAATTTACAATTTTGCAGATCATTGCATGGTACAATTTGTTAAACCAAATCTGTTAGGTACAAAGAAAGAATTTTTGAATAGATTCGTAAATCCGATAACGAACGGTCAATTTGACGATTCTACCGCTTATGATGTTAAATTAATGAAAAAGCGAGCGCACGTGTTGCACAAAATGTTAGAGGGTAGTGTACAGAGGTTTGATTATTCCGTGCTTACACCGTTCCTACCGCCTAAACAGGAGTATGTTATTTTTGTCAGATTAACAGACACGCAAATTAAAATGTACCAATATTACTTGGAGAATCTTGCGAGGTATGGATTGCTTGGATCTTATATTTTTATCATGTTTTCTTCTATTTTATATGTGACTTGAAATAATTGTAATTACTTTCCAATTAAACGATACATGTATATATTATCTCATATCCTTCTTTCTGTAGACGCTCCTCTGGTGCAGGAGGAACTCTTTTTGCAGATTTTCAAGCGTTACAAAGGATCTGGACGCATTCCCTAGTTTTGCGTTTGAACGCAGAGAAGATAGAAAAAGCAAATGAGAAGAAAGAACTTTTGAGCGAGTCGGAAGGTTCATTGAAAGATTTTATTAACGATAGTAGCGACTCAGAACAGAACAACAGCAGCAGTTCGAGCAGTGACAGTGATGTTGAAGCTATCGATGATGCAAAAGAGAATACAAATATTTCCAAGCGTAGAACAAGAAATAATCCTGGTGGTAAGTTTTTACAATGATGTATTTGAGAACAGTGTTTTACATAATTTATAATGTTGATATAATAAATCATATAAATTAATAAAAAAATTAAATTATTAAAAATGAATGAGAATATACACAATATGCGTATTGAGATAATAATTAAAAGAATAAAAATATTAAATAAATCAAATTTTAGAAGAGGAATCGGAAGAAGAGGTTAAAGAAGAGAGTCGAGAGGCAGAATGGTGGTCGCAGTTTGTGCAGCCTGAGCATTTCGAAGACATGAGAGTATCTGCTAAACTATTACTTTTTTTTGGAATTCTAAATGAATGTGAACAGATTGGTGATAAAGTGTACGTATTTTACATCAAACAATTATACAAATAACGATTATGCATCATTATTATATGTTACATTGTTTTCTCGATAGGCTTTTGTTCTCGCAATCTCTATACTCTCTCACTTTAATCGAGGAATTTCTTCGAAAAATAGACGATCAGACTCAGAACGATACATCCTTGGATACATTGGATAATCATACCGGAAGTTGGTCCTTAGGTCTTGATTACTTTCGGCTTGACGGTCAGACATCAGCCGAAAACAGAAATATGTGGTGTAAAATATTTAACAAACCCTCTAATACGAGGGCGAGATTGTTCCTTATATCCACGCGTGCCGGAGGATTGGGAATAAACTTAACCGCGGCTAACAGAGTGATTATATTCGACGCCAGTTGGAATCCCTCTCACGACGTGCAAAGCATATTTCGGATATACAGGTATATACTTCTTTCGGCACTTTTCGTTATTTGATTTTACCATCATCCATCAAATCAATAATAGTATTATTTTTTGTGGATCTGAGAGCCGCGTTTAATTCGATGGATACGTCCAAATTGATAGAATCAATGAGAGATAAGGGAGTGAGGGAAGAACTGATTAGGAAATGGGCTATGGGGATATTATGAGAGAGATGAGTAATAGGGTGAGGATAGGGAAATGAAAAAAGAAGTCAGGTAAGGGAAAAAGTAAAGAGAAGTGGATTATGAGGTGGAATTATGGGTATGGAGGGAGAGGATAGAAAGACTACAAAAGAGATATTTAAAGTGTATGTCGGACGCTGGGTTATTTCATCAGAGAAATTACAGAATAAATGAAGCGGATAATGGGAAGAAGGGCGTAGAGGTTTTAGAAAAGATCAGAGGAAAAGAAAAAGGATATGCTCTGGCGACGAAATGTTGGGAGGAAATTAGAATGAAGACATTACATATAAAGTTATCAATCATTATTCATCAAATTAATCGTTTCTGATGATTTTCAGATTCGGGCAAAAGAAGCCGTGTTATGTATATCGATTCCTGGCGGCGGGAACAATGGAAGAGAAGATTTACAATCGTCAAGTCACTAAATTATCGCTCTCGTGTCGAGTTGTGGACGAGCAACAGATCGAACGTCATTATAGCAATCATAATCTAAACGAGTTGTATAGTTTCGAAGGGTATAGCGATGCGGAGAAACCTACATTAAATTTACCTAAGGATAGACTATTAGCAGAAATATTCCTGAAATATAAGGATGTCGTGGAAAATTATCACGAACACGATTCTTTATTAGAAAACAAGGTGAGTAATATTTTTTTCATCAGAAAGAAAAAACGTATTTATATTTTATCAATAATAAATTGCATTTTTAACAGGCCGAGGAGGAATTGGACGAGGAAGAACGCAAACAGGCTTGGTTAGAATATGAAGAGGAGAAGAAGGGAAAACCGCCGATGAATCCGATGTTGAATATGGCTTATCAAAATAACATGTTACTGCAGCAGTATAATATGATGATGAACACTGGACAGACTGGTTTAATGCCTCAAGATATGTCTATCCAAGTGGAGTATGAAAATCTCCAACAGCTTATTCGTAAAGATGTAAGCATACAATTAATGCAATATCTTTACAATAATACAATTACCTTGCAATAATACAATTACCTTTTAAGAATACAATTAAAAACACTAAACTATGCTAGCCTTCATAAAAGAATTGTTTAAGTGAATTATTTATAATTATGGATTTGTGTAGTACCCCAATTCAACGCCGGAACAACAAAAAATAATGACAAATCGAGCCCTATTGGAAATGTATAATTATTGGGAAAAACAAGCTACATTATACTCTAACCAACCTATGAGAAATCCAGCAACTACATCGGTATTGGTCTACTTTATACTATTTCTATTTATATGTTGACTGCTACGCGAATTTTACATGTTTTAACTTGGGGCTACATGGCAGTCAACGTGTTATTATTATTATTAATAACATTGAGAGAGAGAGATGGAGAGAGAGGGAGGGTGGGAGGGAGAGGGAGGAAGAGAAAGATGATATTTAGTAAGCTAATCTTGAGAAAACGGCCGTTATATAATCTTTCTCTTTTTCCCTTATGCGTTTTTAAATAATCCCAAGTATATTTTACAATAATATAAAAAATGTATAAATTTTTATAACGCACGATATTTTATAGAATTTTCAACAAAGGCCGATGATCGTACCACATACTGCGAGTAACAGCAAACTCTTTTATAATATATAATATAAATTTAAATATATTTATTATTTCTGTGTGTTTTGTGTAGCAACAAGTCTCACAATTGAATCAATTGCTCACATCGTCGGGGCAATCGGGAAATTATGTAAACGCGAACAAATCCGCACAACCAAACATGGCGAAGATGGTAGATCTAGTACCAAACCCATTTACATATCAAAACACTCTATCGAATAACAATGCAGGCGGAAAAACAAACGATGATATAATTGAAGTATATATACGTTGCTATATACTTTATGCTTTATTTGTGTGCACTGACAATTGAAAATGATACATTATTTGAATTTACAGGTGATACCTACTACAAGTAACATTGGTGTGTCAAACGTACAAGGAGCGATACAACCAACTAATAACAATAAGAATCAAGAGGAGTAGAATTCCTTCCCTTATTAATAATTCGTATGAATTATACAATGGTATCATTGGTAAGTGATATGGAAGTTGATACACTGTAAGGCGAAATGCAAGTCGTATACGAAGGTATTATTTACATTTCACATATTGATTTCCTATGTAATATAAAAAACTGTTATGGTCTTTTTTGTATTATTAAGTTCGATTATATATTATTAGTTTCGTGTATGTGTAAACCATAATTGGCTTATTTATGTTGTCAAAATTTATTGCGTACAGATTATGTAGTGCAAAATAACGTAGTCAAGTGTATTTGAAAATGTATTTCTCGCGAGCTTTTTGCAGAATGAGGCTTTACTTTATATAAGTAATGTCTTTACTTTACATAAGAGGCATATTTAGGAAAACGTCTATATACATTACAGTTTTTTAATCCATTGTTAAAGTACATTTAATCTATCTTCATTTTTTGTCTCATTAGATATATATTTATTATTAGATGTGTATATATAGAGTATCTATTTTCCAAACATTTTTATAGATATATACACATACATTTACAACAAATATTCTGTATATTTATTTACCTTTTCTTACGGCAAACAGAATGGGAGCATTCGTAATACATATTTGTTTCTTTAATTGTGTTAATAATCAATAATTTATTGATTTCATATACACACACACACA